AGGGTTTAGGGTGTAGGGTCTAGTCCCGAAGGGCAGGCTAGGTCAGCATGTTTGTTGTTGGGAATCTATCGTTGCCACATGATCTTTCCGAATCATCGAGCCGCTGCCAGCGGAAGAAACCTGAACCCTGAAACCCAAACCCGAAATCCGAAACCGTAAGCCCTTGACGGCCCTCAACCCTTGATCAACGCAAACTAAGTCGCGCACCTAAAGTCCGACAGCTCTAAGCCCCTGTATCCAAGCCTTACACGCCCCGACTCCTTCTTAAGGCCGCAAAATTGCACCAAACCGCTGAGCATCAAAGAGCCAAGGCTTCGTGGTGATGAATTGTGTGTCCCTGACCTACCATGCCCTGATCTTGACCGGAAAGGTGGGGCAAGCCGAAGCGAAGCAATGCAGGATCCCGTGCCACAGCAAAAAGCACGCTCTACCGACGGGGTGTTTCTTTTTTGTGCTATCGGTGAGGGGAGGCTTTTTTTTTTTGCTTTGAAGTTGTTGCTGTGCATCTATATATATATATATGTGTTTCTTGCTGTTGGTGCGGTGGGGTGGTGTGTGTGTGTGTGTAGTGCGGGGCAGTGTTTTTTTGTCTGCTGTGGGCGGGGGGTGGAGAGTTTTTTTTTGGCTGTTTGGCCCTGCACCAGCCGCCAAAACAAAGTATTCTTACCGATCCAGCATTGGCGGGTTGAGAGTTTCGGGGTATAGAGGTCACGGACCCATGGGTTTATACGTTTGGGGTGTAGGGTTTATATGTAGGAGCCTCAAGCGTCAGTCTTTGTCCTGCTGTCAAGAATACTTATATTATGAGAGTACGTGAAGGGCTTTACGTAAGGGCTCCAGTTCTAGTGATTTTGAGGGGAGGGGGTTTCAGCAAAAACCCTAAACCCTAACCCCCAAACCCTAACCTTAAACCCTAACCCCTAAAGCCTAAACCCTGGTTACCTGAAGGGGTTTACATTCTGCTGAAGGAAGCTCAGCATGGACGTCTAGGCTTTGGACCCTAAGCCCAAGCCCCTAAACCCTGAAGCGTGAACCTTGTGGCAGGCTGTAGATCCGAAATTTCTGTAGCTTCTGAATGTCCAAAACTGTCTGTACACGACAAGCCGAGAGCCCCCGAAACCCTGAACTCTCGACACGTTGCCCCCTGAAGCTTTAAACCCTCAACAGCTCCAGGCCTACAGCTTCAGGGTTTAGGCTGCAGAGTTCTAGGAAATATGGGGCTGCAGGATCGTAACTAATGGTTGGTGGAAATCCCTGATTAATCAACCCCTTTCTGTCAGGGTCCGCAGATTCAGATCCCGGCTATATAATCCCTAAACAGTGAGGCAGTTCATCAATCAGAGGTCTGCATCCAGCGGCGTTTAGGAGTTCAGGGGTTTTGGGGGTTTAGGGTTGAGGGTCAAGGCTTAGGCTTCAGGGTGCAGGCTTTAGGGTTTAGGTTTCGGGGTTTTGGGTGCCGGAATGTGTGAGCTTGGCATGGCATGCTTTTTTTGCGCGCGACATGAGGTGAGGCGTAGGGTCTTTGTGCGCTGTGCAGGTGGACTATCGTTATGTGTGGGGTGGTCAGCTGAAGAGCAAGGCGCAAGGGCTGCAAAGAACCCCAGGCTCTTAACCCGAACCCTTAGATACGGCCCCCACTCAGCAGCAGTTGAATCAAGTCTATAATGTAAACATATGCTATATGTATATATATATATATACACATACATACACACACATAGACTCAAGTTCGTGAAAAAAATTTCTAAGGCCCTGAATAGTAGCCTTATTATAGACTGTGGCTGTATGGGGGCAATACTCAAGCTGAACTCTCCACCGAAACGCCCGGGCTATTCCGCCTGGGCTAATCCGGTTTCGGGTGTCTCTGCTAGCATGCTGTTCGTGGTTTAGCGTTTAGGGTCTAGGGTTTAGGGTTTTGCGTCCAGGGTTTAGGGTTCAGGGTTTAGGGTTTAGGGTTTAGCGTCCAGGGCTTAGGGTTCAGGGCTTAGGGTCTAGGCTTTAGGGTTTAGGGATTAGGGTCTAGGGTTTAGGGATTTAGGGTTGCGGTTGGAAAGGCTGTTGAAACCGCGGATGTTTTTACCCTGACCCCCGACATGCATTGACCCAGCAGAAAAAAAGCAACAGACAATCCCTATGCCCTAAATCTTAAACCCTAAACCCTAAACCCTAAAACCTACACCCTAAACCCCCTAAACCCTAAACAGAACCCCGACCACTTCACCCCAAGCCCCTAAACCCGACAGCCCTAGCAGCTGTAAACAAGAGATCCCGGCGCCTGAGACAGATGCCCTAGGGTTTAGGGTTTAGGGGTTCAGGGTTTAGGGTTTAGGGCTTAGGGTTTAGGGTCTAGGGGTGAGGGCTTTAAGCAAACCTACGGGGGTTAGAAAATAATGTTGAGGGGCCCGCAACAGCCCTATTATCTCAACTCCCCCATAATTAAGGAATATACCTTAAGCCTTAAACCATAATCTTAAGGCCCCTATAATATAAGGGCATTTCTTGATTAAGGCGTACTGGGATGTCTGGAACTTACCTTTTCGACTTCGACCTCCGACCTCTGACATCTAAGCTGCCCTGCCGAAGCCGAAGCCCATGAGCGCACGCGCAATTCTTCCCATGGCTAAGCACTAACGGCCCTAACGTTTCAAGCCTGCAGAGGAGGAGATGTACATCTTCGAGGCCCTCTCTGTGTCCCTCAATCTACTCATGTTGCTCCTGGTGCTGACCCGGGGTGGCTGGTTGA